ATAACCTTAATGCCCTCTTAATAGAAATATTAGTTGCTTGTTTGAAAGGAAATATAATTGCAAAAGTAAAATATTTGCCACGTTTAGAAGGTAGACAATAGATTCTTATTTGAAGAATAAACAACAAAAAAATCGCAATCAATTAGAAAGAGCAAATATTGCATCTTCTAAATAAATCACCTTCAACAATTAGGGGTGGTGGTGGTGATGGTAAGATACTAGTACCTTAAAAACCATATGTATCATGTATTAGTCCCTCAAATCCTTTTATTTTAATATTAGCCCCTGAATTATCTCAATATGCTGATATTAGTCTCTCTAATTAGTTATGGTTAAAATAGATGAGAAATGTTCCCTTTTTCCATAAAAAAAAAATCTATTTTGTTTAACTTTTCTTGAATTAACATTTATACCCTCATCTCTTTGAATGATGGGGGTGACGTTACCGGTGGAGATGATGATGGTAGCGGTGATGATGGTGGAGGATGTGAGAGTACCGGCAGAGGAGGTGATGGTGGCGAAGAAGATGGACGTGAATACGATAACATCGCGACGGCGGTCATGTCGGATATGGAAGATGTGGGATGGAGGAGACGATGAGTTACATGCGGAGGCGGAGATGGTGACGGCGTGATGAAGGAGATGAGAATACCAACGAAGGGATGATGGTGGTGGAAGAGATTGAGGTGGTGGAGGAGGCGGCGAGAGGGAAAGAGAGGGTGATGGATAACAAAGGTAATTACATATCCATGATTAGCTTAAACTCAACCTTTGTTTAGCATTTTTAATAGCTAACGCAGAGGGGAGGACCAATATAAGGTCATCTGGGGAACTAATATAAAAATATGAAGATATGAGGGACTAAAATCAAATTACCTAGAGGTGTAAGACATAATATCTAAAAAACCTTATAAAAAAGTAAATTTTGCAAAAAAAAAAAAAAAAAAAAAAAAAATTGAAAAATTCTTGTAACATCTAATGCTTTAATATTTGCTAAAATTTACTTTCGCTTGATTAATCTCAAAACCACGTTTATCATTAAAAAAGAGATCAAATAATCAAAATTAACGCTCGATTCTTTTAGACGTAAAATACCACCTTTAATTTAGTCCAAGAACCACATGAACTTTCTCTCTCAAACGAATATTCCATCCCCTCATTCCACAAATAAAAATCATAAAGTGGGGAAAAACTCTACTTTTCTCTAAAAATTACACCCCCCACCCCCGCCCTCAACATCGTCTCCAATCTTCTCATCTCCGATGCAGAAAAGTCCCAAAATTATCTGAAAAAATGCAGTTCCTGTTCTTCTCATAATGACCTAATCCCGGCATTCCCCCCAAAAAAAAAAACGAACCAAAGCCCTAGAAAACATCCAATCTTTGCAAATCTCAATGTTCTGAGCTCCATCACCCCCAAATTCGACCTCGGATCCGGATCCGGATCCGACAGCGATGGCGGCGGAGCAGGAGGCGGAATGCAACCCCGTGAAGAAACCGGGGCCCGTTTCCATGGATCACGTGCTTCTAGCCCTAAGAGAAACGAAGGAAGAGCGCGAGGTTCGAATCAGGAGTTTGTTCAGCTTCTTCGATTCCGAAGGGAAAGGGTCCCTCGATTACGCGCAGATCGAGGCGGGGCTCTCGGCGCTGAGGATTCCGGCGGAATATAAGTATGCAAGGGATTTGCTGAAGGTTTGTGATTCAAATAGGGATGGGAGGGTGGAATATCACGAGTTTAGGAGGTACATGGATGATAAGGAGCTGGAATTGTACCGGATTTTTCAGGCAATTGATGTGGAGCATAATGGGTGTATCTTGCCAGAGGAGCTTTGGGATGCGCTCGTCAGGGCCGGTAAAATTATTCAGGTTTTTGAATGGTTTTTTGAAATGCAATGCTAGCCCCTCCTTAGAAATTTGTAGAATTGGATAGCTATAATGTGTTTTCACCATGTCATAGGTGTAAAGGTATCATATTTGTTTTTGCCAAGGAGACTGGAATGCACCATAGTTTAGTTGCGCTAACTGTCTTGAATTTCTTAAATTCCTATTTTACCTTGTACCATATTGTGCAGATCCTTGTACAGTACACCATAGTTTAGCTGCATTAACCATCTTGAACTTGGCTTAGCAGTGGTAAATTTATTAATTTCTTCCGTACCTTGTTGGAGAACCATTTTGGAGTTGTGAAAATCCTGTTAGAATACATCATAGTTTATTGCACTTGATGAATTTTTTAAACTTCTACTGTACCTTGTTGATAACCATTTTAGGGTTGTGAAATTCCTGCTAGCAGCCTTGTTTGCCTAGGGGTGGCCACATGCCACTGCAGATATGCCCTGGACAAGCCCTTTGACCGTTAAGTGAAGGTTGTAAAGGGGATTATTTGAGGGGATTAAAAAGCCACCTTGGAGGCATAGTCAGCAATAGGGGATATTACTGAAGGAAAATACTCATGGTTGGTAAGGAATCTTGGAAAAGAAAGAAAAGAAACATTTAAAAAGACTGCAAGAAACATGTAAAAAAATTTAGTTCAAAAGATGGATATAGGTTTGTGTGGATACCCCAAAAATACAGTGATATCTTCCTTTTTAATCCCCAACCAAACACAGTAAAGTGAGTTAAACCAATGTTTGTATGCATTCTAGTTCTAGCCCCATTTTTGAAAGGCTTCCAGCAAAATGCCTTGGTTAGAAGAAATTAGTTGCCAAACTAAGCCTGGAAAACTAACTAGCTTAGGAAATTTAAGTACGTTGGAAGCTTGAGAAACTTAAATCGTGAGCTCCTGACAAGTACTTGTCTTGGATAAACGTAGGGATAGAAGTTTAAAACGAAAAAAGGGGAAAAATAAACTCAAACCTGTAAGCCACAGGTAACCTTGAAAATTTTAAACTTTTACTAAAACCCCAAGATTTCAAATTGTCCTGATTGCCATTTGGCAGATAATAATCTCTTGGTTTCTTGTTGGGTCAATGAAACAGAAGCTCAGCAAGTTTCAAGATTTCAGAGCATAAGTACAACAAGTCCAAGGCTTCTTTTTTAAGTGGTAGAACTTTCACAGAGAATGCCACAAGACTAATGATAAGCATCATGGACCTTTACAACATGTGTCTTTCATGCTAGCACCTTTTTGTTTTATTTGTGGATTTTTCATCTTAAAAGTCAAGCTGGTTTTCCTTTTCCTGGAATTGAAATTGATGATTAGGAACTCGCTCGCTTTGTAGGTCATGTAGATAGGGATAGCATAATAAAGCAAACAAAACCAATTTTTATATGTATTCAAACCCCATTTTTGAAAGGCTTCAAGCAGAATACCTTGATTAGATGAATTGGGTTGCCAAACTACACCTAGAAACTAACCTAGGAAATATAGGTATTTTAAAAACTTGGTAAACCAAAATCTTGTGTGTCTGACAAGTACTTGTCTTGGATAATTTTAGAGTGCAAACTAGGATTTTCAACCGAACAAGGAAAAATAGACTTAACGGATGACGGTCTTTTTAAGTCATTGTGCACTGTGAACTTTTTTGTTTTCTTTTTAAAAACTTGAGATTGATTGCCATTTGGGATATATCAGTCTCTAGGCTTCTAGCTAAGTCAGTGAAACACAACTGCAGGGTGCAAGTTTCAATATTTCAGAGCAAACCAGTACAAATCCATGTTTTTTTAGTGGTAGAGCTTTCATAGCGAATGACTAGACTCATGACAAGCATCATTGCCCTTTACAACAAGTCTCTTTTAAATTAACAATTTTTTGTTTAATTTGTGGATTTTTCATCTCATTAAGTGAAGCCAGTTTGCCTTTTTCAGGAATTGAAATCGATGATGAGGAACTCGCTCGCTTTGTAGAGCATGTAGATAAGGATAACAATGGAATTATAACTTTCGAGGAATGGAGGGATTTTCTACTGTTATGTCCTCATGAGGCAACAATCGAGAACATATATCCGTACTGGGAAAGAGTGTGCCTTGTGGATATTGGTGAACAGGCTGTTATACCGCATTCAAATGCAAGCAAATACTTGATTGCAGGTGGTGTAGCTGGAGCAACCTCTCGAACAGCTACAGCTCCTCTTGATCGTCTTAAAGTGGTGATGCAAGTGCAGACAAAAAAAACAAAAATTATACCAGCAATAAAGGACATATGGAAAGATGGTCGGTTTTTGGGATTTTTCAGAGGGAATGGGTTAAATGTGATGAAGGTTGCCCCTGAAAGTGCAATAAGATTTTACATGTATGAAATGCTAAAAACTGCCATCGTAAATGCCAGAGGTGAAGAGAAGAATGACATTGGTGCTTCTGGGCGCCTTATTGCTGGTGGATTCGCAGGTGCCATTGCACAAACTGCTATTTATCCTATGGATCTTGTTAAAACTCGGCTGCAGACATATAATTGTTTTAGTGGGAAAGTCCCTAGTCTTCCTAAACTCTCAAAAGATATATGGGTGCATGAAGGACCTCGAGCCTTTTATAGAGGCCTTGTCCCTTCTCTTCTTGGAATGATACCATATGCAGGCATAGATCTGGCAGCATATGAAACATTAAAAGATATGTCAAGAAAGTATATTCTTAAAGATAGCGGTAAGCACTACATTTTCATTTTGTTCTCATTTCAGTTTCCACTTCTCAATTTTCTTTATTGATTTTGCAAAATGATGTGTGTCCCATCACTCGCTAACTTTTTGCATATTATGCAGAACCTGGTCCTCTTATCCAACTAGGTTGTGGAACAATTTCGGGGGCTCTAGGGGCTACATGTGTTTATCCCTTGCAGGTTATCAGAACAAGGTAAATAATGATCAGTAATTCTTTCTTTCTTTTACGACATGGCTAATGCCCTTTCACAACTTCTAACCTTGCATAAATACAAATTTTATGGTTAACTTGTAGAATGCAAGCCCAGAACACCAATTCAGCCACTGCATATAAAGGAATGTCTGATGTTTTCTGGAGAACACTTCAGCATGAAGGTTTTATCGGATTTTATAAAGGGATATTCCCAAATCTTCTCAAAGTGGTGCCTTCTGCAAGTATTACGTATCTTATTTATGAAACAATGAAAAAAAGTCTTTCTCTTGATTAAAGGACATTATTTTTTTTCCTGATAGCCATCTTGATTGACATGGCTGACTATAGAGTTTATGATGACGATAAAGAGGATACTGATTCAGTAGGTGAAATGAATGTTTCAATTATAACAAAGTACTTCTTTGGGATAAAAGTATAGGTTTTGTTAGCGGCTTTTTTTGCGGTCCTCGATGGATGTAATAAGAACAAGACACCTGGGTTTCATGCTCAAGATCTGACATTGGTCCCAGGTAATAACTTTTTTCTTTTCTTTTAAGTATTATTATTGGTTCATGAATTTGCTTTCTTTTCAAACCTCTCTTTTTTTTCTGTAAGAATATGCCTCTGCTTTTGCCTTTGAGGCTTAGATCGGTGCGTTTGAGCTTTTACTTTATCAGTAATTTGCATTATTATGTAAATACTGCAGCGAAGGTGCTGATATATTATAAAAATGTCATCTATAGATTCAAATGTATGAAGAGTGTACTCTGATTTCCATTGTACTGGCATCAAAGTCAGTTCACAGTGTACACTCATGAGATCATTCTAATTTTCTTTGTTATTGATGACTTCAGTATTTAGATATATTGTGTGTGCAATGTGATGTTGTTTAATACATGATAGTTCAACTTTTAAAATCACAATCATGTAGTCCTCCACCCGAAAAAAAAAAAGTTCATGTATACTGGTATTGGAAATGTGTAGGTAATTTTTATTTTCAAAATTCATTCACCTTATTACTCTAGTGAAATTGCTTCACCATTGGTGTACTAATTTAAGATAGATCAATATTCTATTACTCCATATTGATTGTCGGTGTCTTTTCTGACGTTTCATTCTTGAGGGATCTTTACCTCCATTCAATCCTATAGGCTATAGCCCCATTGGTAGCATGCATAAGGAACAGTTGCATATAAAGCAGTGAACTTGTGCTCTTAAGGACATGGTTTCCATATAGATTGCTCAATGATAGGCTCAGTGATTAAAATAATCCTTAGACTATTTGACCTACAGTATGGATGTCTTGTGCAGTAACTTTTGGCTGTTACACGTGTTTGTTAGTTTGGACATTAGTGCAGGACAACATTTAAATGTTTTTGATATCTTAGGCCTCGTTTGGTAAGCGGGAATGGGTGAGAATGGAATGCTCATTCCCACTTGTCATTCATGCGTACCAAACGCGACACGATTTTGGAAGCTAGAATGCTCATTCCCACTTCTCCTTCACACTTTTTGTGGAAATGAGCATTCCCAATGTGTTGATAGGGAATGAGCATTCCCACTTAAGTGGAATGAAAAAATTAACTTAAATACCAAATACGTTACGATTTTTAATAATTACACGTACTAAAAATAAAAAGATTTTTCATTCCCATGTCATTCTCTAATTGTAGCCAAACATGAGAATGGAAATAAACATTCCATTTCCACACTCAATCCATTCCTTACATAATTCCATTCTCACTTGATCCAGTTCTCGCATAGTAAACGAGGCGTTAATGTCTATGATAATTGATAATTACGGTAAAACAACTAGATGATTACTTTTTTAATGTTCAGCTTTTGTTATGCATCAGATTTTATTGCAAATTTTTGTAACAGATCTTTGTCATCTTCTCTCTTTGTTTTGCTTGTTATACCTAGAAGAATATAGAGGATTGATCCTTAATTCATGAGCTTTAGTTGTGTGCTCAACTAGGTAATTTCACTCAAAATTGAACTCTGTGTGTAGATTGTGGAAGCAAACTTATAGATATTGGTTGTGGAAAACCTTATGAAAAGGATTAAAAATAGTCTACAACATTGATTACTTTTCAATTAAGTAGAGTTTCTAGTAAGGTAGGTATTATTGGGAAAATGAGGTTGGACCCTTAAAAGTTGTTTATTGTTTATTTAGCTGACCCCAAAAATTTAGGATGAAAGCTTGGTCGTTGTTGTTTAAGGTTGGGGATAAAAGTTTTGCATTTAGGGTGTATTTTTTTCTTTGATGAACTTTGTGGGAAGTTACATACTGCAACATGATGAACTTCTTGTTTTGGGGAAAAAATGAAAAGAAAAGAAATAAAAAGAAGTAAAAGGACATTAGATGTTCCAAGTCTGTGGTTGGTATCGAGAAACTCATGATTTATGTAGATTTTGGGTTGCCTAATCCCATATTTTATAGCACGTGAATATTAGATAATATTTTGCATTGAAGATGAAAGCTTACAAAGCAGAGAGAAGATGAATGATTATAACAAAGGAGAGATACACAAATAGAATATAGTATTATAAGTTCTTATGCCTTTGGGTAGAAAACACATTGCATATTTGTAGAAGAATGATTACGCTTATAATCTGATAAAATACCTTTTGGTAGCCTCAAACATCTTATTTGTGACACTTTAGATAAAGTCAATGTCACTTCGTTTCACCGTTGCCACTTCTTTGAAAAGTTATTATTTGCTTTCTATGTGGGGAGTAGTGAATCTTTAACAGTTAGACATCGTGTGCTAGATTAATTGCAGCATATCGTCTCCTTTCTGCATGTGCTAATCCACTGTGCACATGCTCCTTATATTTTGGAATATTGGAGAAGCAGATCATAAATTGGAGATTTTTAAAACTTAGGATTTTGGAACATGTCGCTAACCCAGGCTATGCATCGGTTCCACCCAAAAAGTACAACATGGGCATAGAAATAGGACAACTGATACGAAGCTTTAGTTAGCTAAAAGTTTCAAAATTGTACATGAGCATGTCTGATATTATAATGCAAAAAGAAAAAGACCAAGCAATGCCTGATGAAGATGTTCAAGCTCAAATCCTAAGGCAATGCCTAATACAATATGAAATAAAGGACATGATATTCGTTAAAACTGAAACCTTTGTAGCATTGGCTGGGTACTTTAGACTAGACACAAACAAGTTTCGTACATGTGTTTCTTTGAAACAATTTTTGAAGATTATCAAAGAAATTTATAGACAAGTCTACATTTATTAAAAATTTTAAAGACTTCGAAGGAGAGAATAATCTCATTATTCTCGACAATGGAGGTAATTTAATTCTCAATGATTAGAAATTTTTTTGTTTATTGCTGTTTCTCCAATATTCCACAATATAAGAAGCACATGTAGTAAGGGTTGGTGCATATAATAGTTCTTGATAAAATCAAAACAAAAGATATTGAATGTCTTTCCTCAAATTATTCAAAGGACATTGGCTAAAGAAAGGAGGTTCTAGAAAATCTAGAAGATCACAATATGGCCCATAGGAGAGGAACGATCTTATAGTGAAATATACGTATCTTCTCAATTATCGATTATGCCTCCTTTGTCCAGAATTTTGAGATAATACAAGACAACTTCTTGTAAAAGGATTTCTGACTTCCAATCATTAAAGATTTCTTACTCTGTTCTTAAAAAGAAGATAATAACTATTAAAAGAAGTGGTGAAAATGAGATAAAGTGACAACGACCTTATCCTAACGGAGTCCACAAGATAAGATGTTCATAGCCACCAAAAGTAATCTTATTAGATCGTAAGGGCAATCCTTCTTCTATAAATAGAAAGGTGTATCTAACCTATAGGCATAAAAACTTGTAGTACTATATTCTCTACATATATCACTCTTGTGTTGTAATCTACTACATTTTTCTAAACTTTTATCTTCTACACTAGATATTATTTTGTATGTATACTAAGGTGCTCGATCCTCATATTTGTGGGATTATTCATGAGAAAGGAAAATGTCTTTGATGATAAGAGAATGCAAGGATTTGGTACGCTAATCTCAGGCATTATTGTAGGTTAAGTAGCTTGATGAGTAAGGTTCATAGTGTCATCTCTGTAGAAGTATTGTATTTGTAGCTAGATGAAGATCCTGAGGAGTCGACACATTCACATCTTTCTTAGAGCTGGTAAAGAAGCTTCTGAGGTAATATTTGCCGTAAAGTTGGGCTTGATTCTTGAAGATGAAATTCAGTTTTAGATTGTTGACAGATGCAGCCTCCAAAAGATCTTTTGTCATAATTTAGAGGATAAACACTCGAAGGCGCTGTACAAAGAAAAAGCAATGAACCATAACCACTTTATTACTAGAGAAAGATCACAATATATTCTACAAAACGTTTCTAATATTTGTGCCTTTATGACTTCTCTGTTAAATTCACATGATGGTGACCAATATCTATCCGCAGGCTTATCTGTTGCCATTGGTTGAACGCTGGTTAGACTATATTTGGGTCCATGGGCAATTTAGACATCAAGAGAAGAAAAGTATCATCTCTAGATTTGTCCATTATTACTTTATTACCCATGTAGGCTTTTTTACTTTGTTTTTCTGATCTTACCTGTTACTATCAGATCGTGAAATAGTTCACCTTATTCTTCAAATCCTTCATCTTCAATGTTTACATGAAATAGTTCTATAATAAAAAGATGGGTTTGAGAAGCCAAAAAGTCATGGATTCAAATAGAATTTGTCTATAAAAAGCATTCTATGTAAGAAGTGTCCTGTGATCTATATCACTAATTTGATGTAATCAACTAGTATATTACTTCATGTAGTTTGTCTTAGAATTCATTGACTGTGTTCTGCTTGTCTTGAAGTTCTTAATGTCAAGATAGTTACTTCGACATTGCTGTCATATGGCCTTGGCGCATAGGGTTAGCTTGACAGAGTTGTGTCAGTTGAAATTCGGAGATCTTATGATGGAAAAGATGAAAGAGAAATATAGAATTCATTTAGGCCTTTGGCAGACAACCAGCTGGTGATCCTGAAAAAGCTTTTGTGAATCAATAATTGTGGTTGGCAAATGGCAGGTTTTATTGAAGATTTAAACCAGCTGGTGATGGATGATACATGGGAGAGTGGATGTTTCCTCTTAAAGGTCCAAGAGTGGATGCTTTAGTCTGTGCAAAACTCAAAAGGAAAGCTTTTATAATGTAGGTTGAGAATAGTATAAAGAAACAAGACTAGAAATAGAATGCCCTTGTGGATCTCTCAGTGAGTGGTATGACCCACAATTACCCACAGATCTTAAAGGTGAGAGTTGGATGTATAAGAAACTTTCTGGATTACTCCATATTTTTCAAAGATTTTTAAGGTACTCAGAGTTGGAGGTTTCAGAAATGGCTAGATTACTCCATATTTTTTGAATGTGGATTTATGCAATAATATGGAATGATGTACAAATGTTTGCATCTCTGATTTCAGATTGTTCAGAAGTGGCTTACTCATAGTACTGTGGGTGTGTTTGGATTCTAATGGGGCTAAGTGAAGTTAAGGGAAACTACGAGAGCGAAGAGAAAAAGGAAATGAAGTTCCTTTCTCCTTTGTTACACCCCAATTTGGGGGGTAACAAATTTTATGTTATTTGGTGGTGAACTAAGGGGAGCTAGGGTAAATAATTTCACCTCCTAAATGTTCGCGAACATGGTGAATGATTCCCCTAACTTCCCTTCTTCCCTATTCCTTTCGATCCAAACAAGCTCTATGTTTACTATCTTGGCCCTTTTGATTGATTATTAATTAGGGGGGGGTTGTTGGGTATTTGGTCTGCCCTTCTTGATAACCTTGAAGCTGAGACTTGGTACAGATAATACATAGTGAAGCTAACACCATTCTCAACCATCACAAACTGGTAAGTGGTAACCATGAGTGTTAGTTCATCATCTTGTGTTTGCTTATTAATTTCGTTTTATGCATTAGACATGCCTATTTAATGTATATAAAAGTTGTTTACTCTGAATTATCGATGCCATCCTAGACCAATGTATCATAATCTTCCAATCACCTAAAGGATGCATGCATAAATCATAACAAGTACACTTCATATTTGGTAATGTTTATCAGCTTATTACGTAGTTGGAACTGGGATTTGTTTTGACTCTTCAGATTGCTGATTGAATAGACACAAATGTAAATGATGTGAGAAACTCTTTTGCCTGGGGGCTATCTAATGCTCCTAGGAGTCCTAGTGGATGAGGCTTTTTTCCCCTGCTTCTCCGATATATGCATATTGAGGGGTTTTGTGAAGAGGTAGTAAGAGAAAAATACAGTCTGTTTACACGCCATCATTTCCTTTCCTCCCAAATTCATTGTTAGGAGTTAGTAACAGGATGATAAGCAGGGATCTCTTGCTGATCATCAGTGCGGTTATCTTTGGACCTCTGATTCCAATGTACTTGGCATCTAGGAGGAACATATAAATTGAGCATGCCCACGAAATAGAAAAACCATCCTAGCATGCTAACTGATAAACAATAAATAGGTTTGTAGTTTATAAGGATCGTTCCATGTGGATTTGTCACTACCGTCTTGCCCAACAGTCAGTATAGCCACACTAATTAATAGTTAGAGAATCCCTCTTTATCAACTTGCCACTAACCCATAACAGTGAATTTAGGAGGAAAGGAGATGACAGCTTATAGAGCGAATCTTTGAAATTTTCTGTCTACACTTCTTTGTGAAACCCTCTACATGTTTATACAAGGGAAGAGGAGGCAAAAACCCTAGTTCCACTAGGATTCCTAGTTCCCCTTCCCCTGGGGATTGGTTTGGATGGTGGACATGTGCTCTGATACAGAGAACGGTTGTGAAATTGTCCAACATCGTGAAGGATTATTAAATAGCCTGGCTTAACTGAGTTATTACACGATCCTTTGAACATGTACATGGAAATTGACTTTTCTACCTGTTACTGCTTGTTAAGTTCATCTCTACATCCGAACACAACCTACATGTCTACACCAACATTTTATGTTGTATGTGGTGATATGTTTTCTCCCTTTCTGAGGTATGTGTAACTGCTACTAATGCAAAATCAAGTAGATACATGAGAAGAAGGTTCATGTTGTGTATGCTTCCATGTGCACGTGTAGTGGAGAAAAAAAAAAATCAAATCTTAGACCTACTGGATAACTTCAATACGCTTCCAGCTACTGGGTTGCCATGGTAATCACTATGTAGATATGTATTGAATTGTTGGCATTATGACTGGTGTTCAAATTGACAATTTTATATGACCTGATTTTAAAGATAAAAATTCTTGTAAATTTTTATTGTTGATGGGTAAGGGTGTACCAAAGACATAACCTCAGAGATCCATGTCAGTATGGCTATATCCAATTGGCTGTTTTTTAATCTAAGGGGGTATATTAGAACATCTTGTTTCCACCATTTGCAGTACTTACTACTTACATATTCATCTTCAACTTGCCTCTGGTTTCTTTGCCCCATATGCTCCAATACATAGTTACATGGATCCTGGTTTGTTCCGATTCACGGAACGGGAACGAGACTGTGGTATGCCACTTACTGTGAATCGGGTACGAGGGGGTATGCTTATAGGATACCCTCGGGAACGTGATATGTTTTATGTTCAGTTTTTAAATGTAGGAATTTGAGTGCTTAATGTATAAATAATTTCTTCAAGAGTCAAATTCAAGGGTCAATAATGGTAAAAGAATTCTCAAATTGTAATTGAGGTACGTTTTTTGTTGTTTATTTTTCTGAAAATGGTTGTTTTTCCCCTTAAAAATATTAATTAATTTTAATTGTAAATCAGGTCGCTGAGTATGTGACCTAATTCGCTAGTGTACCATGTTCCGTGACAATTGAACCTGGGTCGTGGTTCGCTATAGTGTTCTACGCTATAGTGTTCTACGTTCCCAACATCTATGTTCCAATATAAATTAGGACTTGCTCTTTGGTGCCCTCTATGTACTATGTTAAGTACCTTCATGTTTGTGTTACAGATAGACCATCTCAGATAGTCTTGCTCACTCTATGTTTTTTGTTCCAACCTTGTCCTTAAACCTTGCTTTTTTTTGGGTTCTTTTACGGGGAACCTTCCCTAAATTAAACTGAATTGCATGTTGCCACCCTTAATTATCCGAGTTCCAAAATGCTACCCTTTCATATAGCTGTTTGTGCCCATTTCCATCCAATTTTCCATCAAATAAATGTTGTTTGACAGATTTACCAATGCACGTGTTATCTGGGAGTATGTAGAGCGAATGAGGCACATGTATAACACGTGTCTGGGTAAATATGTCAAACAACACTTTTTTGAATGGATAGTTGGATGAAAGTGGTCATAGGTGGTTATACATTGATGGGATGAGACATAACGGTGGTATTTCGATACTAACATCAAATGGGGCCTAATTTAGGGGTGGTTCCCTGTAAAAGAACTTTCTTTTTATTTTTGAGCTAATACTAACTTTTTCCTGCTTTCTTTCTTGCTATGCTTTGTGATTCCAAAAGTTGGATTTATATCTATCTGATGATTTCAATGAGCTATAGTGTCATCTAACTGATGTCATAAGTGATGAGCCTGCTGATTATCCACCCTATGTTCTCTCAGAAGATCTTATAGTTTTGAGATTTAATTACAATACAATACCTTCAAGATTCGAGTACGTTGCAGTTTGGTCACATTTGGTATTATCACTTGTCCGGACGGCATCGACCTACTTTACCAGGCCAATATGATGTCTATTGTTCCCCCTACTCTTTTGCATGTAACAACTCAAATAGTATCAGGCTACAATTAATAAGTTATATTGGCAGCAATTGAAACACTTTTGTTCATATGTGAAATAAGGTTGCTTCTTGAGTTGTAAGGTGTGAGGTCTGTCCTATCTGGTACTATTTGATAAATACAGTTAAAGTGTGTCACTAATTCTTTTTATAGTACGGTAACTGAATAGTATGATCTCAAAGTCAGGAGCTTGGATATTGCATTTCTCATTTTTGCAATGACTGCTGTGATCCTGAATAGCTATGACAGTAGTTAGTTTGGCTATCCAACCTTTGATGCTTGGAAATTATTTACTGAATCAAAGCTTTATGCTGCTGGTCTATTTCAGCTTATATCTTTCTGGTTCTTGTTCTTGAAACAGTTTGGCCTTTCAACAATCTGGAGTTTGTTCACTTTCTCGGGGCAAGCCATGTTGTCGGGGAATGAGTGTGTATTACTGCTAGTTCATTCTGGCACGTCTGCTGAAGATGTTCCTGGCTTACATTTAAAAATTTTGATATATTTTTCGGTTACTCTGATGAATCTGAGCAAGGCAGCTAGCCTGCCCAAATACATGATACCTCTATTGAGGGGCAATTGTGTGTTATTTATCTGTTTACTCTTAGGCATTGCATGATTATCTATAGCCCTGTGGTATTATATAATTGCCCTCTATATACAGAAAATTAGTCTTGCACAATACCTTGATATTTACTTATTCGTTGTGTAAATAGTTGAAGCTATGATATCGTGCCATATGAGGTCAATTGGCTGAACACCGTGTAGTGAGATTACAGGTCCTCCCTCCTCCTATGAAAGACACGTGTCTCAGTAGCTGCATAGATATTTGTATACTAATAAATGCAAGAACCTATGGAAGGGCAACAAACAAGCGTCGCACTTTCAAAACAATGATAAAAGGTTTTGGAATCTGATGTATTTGTATTCATCAGGCATCATCATCATCAATAAAAGGGCAAAAGCGCAAGAGCACAAAAGCACAGCATTCGCTGAGAAAGAGAGCGACCCTCTGATTCTAGGAGGGACGGAGTGAGAGTTTTATTTTCTTTTATTGTTAACTTTTTTTCTTACGGTAGTTTCCACATAATTAGTTGATGGTTTGTAGGCAGAGACCGTTGTAATTTATCCTATATGCTAGCAAGGTGTCAAACTCGGAGTTCCACTTATTCCAATGAACTCCAAGGATATATGATAAAATAAATGGGGTTTTATGATTAGTAAATTGTTCGAGGGGGCAATTCTCTCTTTGATTATTTGTTATCCAGTAGAGTAGACGTGGTCCATTGTGTATTGTTATTATTATTAGGGAAAATTGCTTGGGGGAACCAAATAAAATTCGGCTATGCATCCCCACCCCCAGCCCAAGAATCATTACTGGAAAACCCTTATACAGAAAAAAATGCAACAAAGCCCCCAAATAGTATACAGACCCATAACCCAAAAAAAAATCCCCAAATTACCCTTGGCAATTTAAAACTGAAAAAGTCACATCCCCACCGTCATTTTTTGAGCAGCGCTGTTACCGAAACCCCCAAACCTCCGTCAAAGAGTTTGAAACTCTCCCCCTTCCGGAACCCTCTTCCTCCGCCGCCGACGACAACGCTTCAGCCGTCTCGTTCGTCGACTTCGTGTTCGTCTTCGTCGTCACAATCGAAGACCGCTGCATCCTCGACTTCTTCGACTTCGTGCTCGTCGCCTTCTTCTTTGGCGAACCCTTTAGATCGTCATCCTCGACTCTTCGACTTCGTCGTCTTCGTCGAAGACCGCCACCAGGACTCGTCTTCTTCGAAACCCGCTCGTCGCCAACTTCGAAACCCTATTCTTCTGAAATCCGCCGCCGCTCGTCGTATTCCTCTTCGGCGACTCTCCTTTACTTCGTCGACTCTCGTCCGCCGACAAGGACCCCCCCACCGACGACCGCAAGCTCGTCGACCGCCAGAATCTCTCATCCTCACCGAACCCCACAGTGACGCTGCTAAAAATACAGATGTCGAATTCATCATCTGAATCAGCTACAATAAAGCCTGAGATGTAAGTATCTACCCAATTGTTCACATCTGTTCATTTAATTTGTTTGGCATTGTGAATTTATACGCATTAGAACCCTAAGTTAGTTTTGGCATTGTCAATTCATCATCTCAGACAGTTGATTTAGTATCTGTTGTGTTGTCTTTTACAGTAAACATGATATAAGAATTTGTTGCAATATCCGTGGATATTGTCAATTTATGGATGGCATTGTCCCACAAATGAGGTCTGAACATTGGAGGGCTTATGGATCCTCCAATTTCAAGAACTATGTTAGTTTTGGTATGATTCCATCCGACAAGGCCACCATCATGCTGCTGCTGGATAATGTGGATTTAGCCACGGGGAAGTTTTTCTTCAATGATAGCCAAACCGGGACTAAACAAGCGTACACGTTTGATCTAAATTGGGTGCGCAAACATACTCGGTTTAATGATGAAGGGGAGAAACCCGAAGGCAATCGCGACATGGATAATAGGATATGGACCACATACTTCAGCAACAAGCAACAATCACAATACAAGAGTGGCCGAGGCTACCTTGAGGCCCTATTGGAGAAATTGGTTCGGTCCAAAAAGAAATCCGATGTTTCGGATTTTGTTATGCTTCAAATCCTCTATCAATTGACAATGATATGGACCCCGACCGCGAGAATGAATGCACCGCGACATATGTTCAAATATGTGGCTCGAGTAGATGCGGTTGATCATTTCCCATGGGCGACAATCATCTATAAGGAATTGTGGGACTCCTTCAAGGCTGTGAAGAAAGCGACGAAGGGGCTGACATATCTTAGCGGCTGCGCTCCCTTGTTATCGGTGAGTTAACTGTGATATTTGAGATTTATATGTTACATTTGCACCTTATCTGTGATCATGACCATATTTGAGATTTATATGTTACATTTGCACCTTATCTGTGATCATTACCCTTTATATGTGATATTTGAGATTTATATGTGACATTTGTATCTAATTGGTATTGTTTAAGTCCGCTATTTATTTGTAGTTTGTATCTGATATTATCTTGTTACACGTGATTATTTCCATTTACATGTGATATATAACACTAATATATGACATGTGATATTTATAGTTAATATGTGTTTATGTGATAAGTGTCTTCTACATGTGATATTTTCTAGTTATATGTGACGTTTGTGACCCATGTGTGATATTTGCCCTGATATGTGATGTTTGTAGTTAATGTGTGATATTATCTGCTGGTATGTGATTATTGCCATTTACATGTGACATTTATATCTAATATGTGATACTTCATTGTTTGAATGTGGCTTTTTTGTAGCTATGGTATTATGAGATATCAAACATTAAGGAGCCGGCGAAAGTGGATGAATCGAAGCCACCAATGACCAATTGGACATTGGAGGGTAAGAAGGTGGGTTCACTGCGGACAACAACAATAACGAAGAAATCCGAGGCCGCAATCCACATCTTACCGGAGCATGACCTGCCGCGGTATGTACATGAGGAGATCAAGCATAAGTCTACAAAGAGGAGGGCTGAAATGGAGGAGGAAGCTACGGGTGAAAAAGCTTCGAGGAAGAAAAGAGTGGAAAAAGGGGTAAAGTTGATGACTTTATGTGCGATCTTTGTATTTGTGACATTTACTCACTATCAGTTTATTGTTAACGTAGGATGACGTTTATAAAAAGTTGGTGATGCTGAATGAAGCCTATGATCAAGAACTTGTTGCTCGTGGCGTTGATACGATGGCCATTAAGGCCGAAATTGAGAAAAGATTTGAGGAAGAGAAACAAATCATGCCCAAAAAAGAAGAGGTTATAATTTATTTCCTATTTCAAACGAGGAAAAAATATCACATATAAAAGTTTGCTGAACAAAATTGGTTACATTCTTAACATGTATGCAGCCTCAAATAGAGAGACAAGATGAGGCGGAGAAAGAAGAAGGGAAGGAAGAGAAAGCAGAGGGAGAAGGTGATCAAGGCCAAGAAGTGGGCATTGAACTTGAGCAGGTAACTCTCCTACGGTAGATTTGGTTGTCTGTGACATGTACACACTGTTTGTGATAGCTCCCTGTTATTTGTGACGTAAACAGTTTATCTGTGACTTTTGCTTATTATTTGTGATGCATGATTTCCTCATGTGATATTTGAGAATGTCATGTTACTATTATATATATTCATTAACTGTGATCTTTATATAGTCTGAAGCGCGGAAAGCTGTTGAGGAAGTTCCTAAGAAGAAGAGGGGAAAGAAGAGGAGGGAGGAAGGTGAGTCTACTTTGGGAGAATTTGTTCAGGGGCTCCGTGCAAGGAGCCGAAGAACAACGAAGAAGCCCAAGTCCCTAGAATCTCCATATTGTATAGAAATGCCTAAGAAAAAGATGAAAGGGAAAAAAAGTGTCGTTTTGGTGAAAGATGATGAGGACAAGGGGGAGACAATAGAGGAGAAGAAGCCACGTGAAATGGCACACCCACCTATGAGAACATCCGTGCCTCAGCTATGGAGAAGGGAAAAAACTGAAGATGAAAAAAAATTATTGTCAATGTTGAATATGGGCATTCCTTCTGCCCAAGACTTTGACATCAGGCTACCGGGAACAGTTAACGAAGGATTTTATCATAACTTCACTGTTCGTGATGTACCTGATGTGTCGGAAGATGAAAACAAGTGGCTTCAACATTTTCTAACGTTACAAGTTGACAAGTAAGTATTAAGTATTATTCTGTGATATATATAAGTGGTCTGTGATAGTTACATGACGTTTGTGACATAAGCACGTACATTGTGATCATTACAGTTTTTATGTGACATTTAGTGTTCTCCTGTGACAATTTATTAATCGGTTGGATATGTCGCTTATACATTCTTGTATGTGATACATTTTTGTAGGAGGATTGTTTTGGAGGTTGAGGACCAAACTATGAACAGATACGATATTCTTCATCTTCTACGCGGTGGAAGATTGAAGGATGAGGTTAGTTTTTGTTTAAGTTTCGTTGTTAGTCAAGTTTTTGATATTTACATGATTTATTATGTTTGCAATTATTAGACGGTTGAAGCCCTTGTTGCAAGACTTCGGAACTGGCTCAAGCTCCCCGAAAATGCCGCTCGGGATCGCAAATTTGCTATTGTCACATCCTATTTTAGTGTGAGTAATGTGGATCATTTTTTGCAGTTATATGTTATTTGACTTTCTCCCGCTTTATCTCTTTTCTTTTTCCGGTAGATTTGGTTGCTAACTGCTTCAAAGTTGGATGAGCGAAAGATCTATAAAAACTATATAAAGAAGCATATCGACGAAGGGAAGGATGCGTTGATAATCCCGATATGTCATGATGATCATTGGCATGTCGTCGAGGTCAATCTGGGGTAAAAAAAATGCAGGCATTACAGCTCCGCTGGCCACGAGGCATGGGCTAGGGACGTGTTGGCCATCCAACTATTTTTAGATAGGATGGTGAGCGGATTTGACCAGAGTTCGACATTTAGAGCATT